AGAAAGAGAGAGAAAGAGGGAGGGAGAGAAAGAGCAAGAGAGAGAAAGAGCAAGAGAGAGGGAGAAAGAGAGAGAGGGAGGGAGGGAGAGAAAGAAAGAGAGAGAGAAAGAGAGAAAGAGAGAGAGATAAAGAAAAAGGGAGAGAGAAAGAGAAGGAGAGAGAAAGAGAGCAAGAGAGAGGGAGAGAGAAAGAAAAAGGGAGAGAGGGAGAGAAAGATTGAGATAGAAAGACAGATTGAGAGAGAAAGAGGAGAGAGAGAGAAAGAGAGCAAGAGAGAGAGGGAGAGAGAGAAAGAGAGAAAAAGAGAGAGAGAGAGAGAGGGAAAGAGGGAGAGAGAGAGAGAGAGACGCTGATTGGATTCCATTATTGCCTTAATTGTACTGCTGGTTAAATTGTGCAGACACAAAAAAGGCACGGTGCAAAAACCGCAAAGCTTTTCCGCAGCTTCAGAGGCAGAGCCGGAGTTATCTAGAAACCTCTTGGGGGGAATCGCCCAATTCCTGGAAGAAAAAAAACAAAAACAAAAAAACCAGCCAGAAAAATGAATAATGCATGCCTGGAGCCGCACTTCGCCTTTTCGCAAATTGTATTTACTGATTATGTTCAATATTCTTTTGCCGATCACTCTGGGGAGGCTGGCGGAGAACCGAAATGAGACCGTCTGGGCTGTCGCTTTGTGTTGCGCTGCCCAGTTGTCAACTTCGGAAATATTCCTCCTACCGTGAACGAGACACGGGTTCAAGGATAGCGGGATAATGCAGAGTAGAAGCAACGTCAGAAGGACAAGCTCAGTTTTACTGTTCAGGTAGTCCTCGACTTACAGCCATTTACCAGGAGACGGCGAGTTCTAGTCCCACTTTAGCCATGAAAGCCAGCTGGGTGACTTTGGGCCAATCACCAGGAGGCAGTAGGTTCTAGTCCCGCCTTAGGCATGAAAGCTGGCTCGGTGACTTTGGACCAATCACCAGGAGACGGCGAGTTCTAGTCCCGCCTTAGGCCTGAAAGCTGACTGGGTGACTTTGCCCAATCACCAGGAGGCAGTGAGTTCTGGTCCTGCCTTAGGCATGAAAGCCAGCTGGGTGACTTTGGGCCAATCACCAGGAGACTGGGAGTTCTAGTCCCGCCTTAGGCATGAAAGCCGGCTGAGTGACTTTGGGCCAATCACCAGGAGACTGGGAGTTCTAGTCCTGCCTTAGGCATGAAAGCTGACTGGGTGACTTTGCCCAATCACCAGGAGGCAGTGAGTGCTAGTCCCGCCTTAGGCATGAAAGCCAGCTGAGTGACTTTGGACCAATCACCAGGAGGCAGTGAGTTCTGGTCCTGCCTTAGGCATGAAAGCCAGCTGGGTGACTTTGGGCCAATCACCAGGAGGCAGTGAGTTCTGGTCCTGCCTTAGGCATGAAAGC